ACGAAGCACGCACTTCCAAAGACCGCGCAAGACTAACAGCCGAACAGAGAAGAAAAATGGTAAACCTAATAATAACAATGAAGCAAGCCCGGAATATCCAAGAACCAAACCAACCAAGAAAGATAAACGAACACAGGCCAAGAGACCAACTTGAATGAATTGCAAACCCGAACATAAATCTACGCCCAAACCAAGTTAACACACACGATCGAAGCGAGGACAAGGAAAGAAGAACAACGCACCAAAAGGGAATACAAAGCAGAATTCACAATGAACCTATATATATATCAAGTTACACTTGGGCTAAACTGGCGTGGAACGGTGTCTTACTTGGGAACGGCAAAAGAAGAATAGTAGGCCTGGGTTGTAAGAAATAATTCGCAAGCATAAGGGCCACAAAAGCGGGGGTGATAAGCCCACTTATGCGCCATACAATGTTGGCAGTCCCTTCGAACGAAAAGCGATCGACGTGGCTGGACCTTTCCCGGAGACGAACGATGGCAACAAATAAATTGTGATCGTAATGGATTACTTCAGCAGATGGGTCGAGGCCTACGCATTGAAAAATCAAGAAGCGTCCACGATTGCTGATGCCCTTGTTAAAGAATGGATCTGCAGGTTTGGTGTCCCCATGGAGCTTCATTCAAATCAGGGAAGAAACTTTGAGACCAATCTGTTCCAAAGCGTCTGTGAAGTCCTTAACACCCGCAAGGCCAGGACGACTGCTCTACTTCCACAATCCGATGGGATGTTGAACGCATGAACAGAACAATCAACCGTTATCTGGCCAAAAATCCTCTGACAACCAAAGAGACTGGACAAATTTCTTCACCTTTTCCTGTTGGCCTACCGTTCTTCCGTCCAAGAATCTACAAGGCAAACTCCAGCCAGCATCGTTATGGGACGGGAAATGCGCCTACCCTGTGATCTGAAATTTGGCTGCCGACCGGGAGAAGAAATCGCCGTAGAAGATTATGTCCACACAATACGTCAAAGGATGGACGAAATCCATCAGCGAGTCCGCATAAATATTCAAAGCGCTATTCAAAGTGACCGAATGAAGGAAAACTACGACATTCAAGCTGAATATGGAGGATACCAACCAGGGAAGGTGGTGTGGCTATATAACCAGCAGAGACGTCGTGGGTTATCTCCGAAGCTACAATCCTCTTGGGAAGGGCCATACGAAGCCATGGATAGAATTAATGACGTCGTATAACGTATCAGAAAATTGCCAAAAGGAAAACCGAGGGTAGTCCATTTCAACCGTTGGAGCCCCTACCAAGGCGAAATAGAAGATCGTGCTGGGACCGTGAGAACCTGCACGATCTTCTATTTCGGAGATGTCCTTTGACGTTTTCATGGCCCGATACAACTGCAGTGAGAAGGCTCGCTTTGGCGTAACCAAAGAAGATCAAGGAGACCTCTTTTCCGTGCCTCCTGTTTATTCGCTCGCTCATTGGGTGGCTCGAGATTTGCGGATGTCCAGAGGAATCGCTGCGACGTTCAAAGAAAAGTTTGGGCGTGTCGGAGAACTACGCCGGCAGGATCCAGAGGTTGGAAGCGTCCTGAGGCTAACCGACAATGAACATGGCTCAAGGGCAAGGGGCACAACTCCTTACTTTTTGTTCGACGCAAAAGGAATGGTTCCCCGGAGTAAGCCGGGGGACCTTATTTCTAAATCTATGGAATACCCTGATTGAACTGAGATAAGCCCTGCTAAACAACATCATTGCACGATTAGCCATCCCGAAGCTGGCGTGTGGACTTGATGGTTTGAGTGGCGTACAATCCGGAACATGATTGAACTCTTGTTCAGATTTACGGGAATCGAGATCCTCGTTTGCTGCTGCAACCCAAAGCTGAGATCGGAGAGAAAACTGTAGACAGCTATTTCTACCAGACTTCGCGATGTACCAGGGGCCAGCTTTGCAAATAACTTCATTCACCGTATACATCTGGGACGAGCATGTGCCTAAGAAGAGGGCAGTGTTGCGAGCCGGCGTGGACTCGACCTAACCTTACAATATGGCCCGTCCTCGGATAACCTTAACATCGCATAGACACCGGAATGATTCATTCGTTCGAGAAGGATCGAGTCCCACTGAAATGGACTAGTACATACGATAACATTCGAAACCTTCTCTATGCTCCTAACGATCTTTGGACTGTTCTAGATTTCTTTTGCTGTGGGTATAAAAGCCGGCGGATGTGGCCTAGAGAGGGCTGTTATAAATAGACGAGTATAGTTGACGCGCTAAAAGATCATAGTAAGTTCTTAGTTATAAATCGTGTGTAAAATTGATGGTAGGCTATAGTTTACCGCGTTATTATTTGTTTGTTAGTTTAGTGTTAAATAAATAGTGTTAAATAATGTGACTTTCTACCACACGGAACCGACGAAAGACGTAACAAGATTAATTAATCAAATTAAAAATGATATAACAATTCTTTTCCGCCCTTATTAAAAATCATGTAAGTAAAGAAAACGTTACTAACCATATGTCATATATGGATATCAAAAGGGTACTTCTAGAACGCAATTCTTGAATCGATTGCAACACAAGAATAAATTTAAAAGAATCTATTAATCCGCAATTAGGACAAAGCGGATAATAAATGATTGTAGGAAACCTCAAATTGGCTTTTTCGGTACACTAGATTCTGAAAAACTGTTCAAATAATATCAAATGCATAAATAAGCTAGAAACACAATCAAAAAGCTTAATAAAACAATAAGCCAATTTAACAAATTCTTTATCGGAAAAACTTAATAAATAATTATAATAAAACAATAATGTTTCTCGTAACCACAAATCACAAAAAACTAGAAAAAAGTCTGAAAACTAGCCAACTAAACATTGATAAAACTAATAATACAAATTTAAATCCATATTTAAATTTCCAAGGCCAATGTTCGCAAATTAATCTAGACTGCCAAGAGTCTGATTACTTTCTCGATAATCTCGAAAGACGCCGATTATGTGTTGCAAAGTTTGAACGCTTTACATTACGTTATCGTATCAAGCTACGAGTTAAATGAACTATTAAATTACTTAAAGAACAATTTAATAAAAAAAAAAAAAAAAAAAAAAAAAAATTTTAAAAAAAATAATTATACCTAATTATTTTTTTTTTTTTTTTTTTTTTTTTTTTTTTCTGAAAATAAATTAATTTTCGCTAAACACGTTCCTATAATTAGACCTAAGGAATACACCTTTTACCACCTATACCCAATTATCCTAAATCAAAATATCTTCATTCCCAAATATCCATTCCTGGCACAAGAAGACCAGTCATACCAATTTGAGGAAGAAGCATGTCCATTCCTGGAAGAAAAATATTTCTGTCAAGAAAACTTCCATGCACGAGACGAATGCACTATCCAGCTACTGTCCGGAAACTTCAACTGCTCAACGATCCACATCGACATAAAAGAATCCGTCGTTGAACAAATCACGCAAAAAGAAGTTCTACTCTTGCCAGCCAAAGAAGAACGAATATATGCACAATGCAGAATCAATCAATACATCAATGTTAAGAAACCAACTTTAATAAATATTCCATCCGAATGCCAAGTGACCATCGATTCGAGAACATTATAGAAACGATGTTGAACTAAGAAAAGGAAAACCTTTAATCCTGCCTGAGGTACAATTAGAAAATCTTGAAAAACCAGAATCTAAATTCGAATATATTGCTCCGAAGCTATCAAAAATCAACTTCGACGATATATACGAGATAAAAGAAAAATTCAACGAACTATCACCGATCACAGAAGCCGAAGAAAGAACCTATCAACCAGTCATCTTCGATATTGCGATTATCTTAATTTGTCTAATAATTGCAATATACCTGGTGTTGAGAAAATACCCACAACTCAAGAAGTACTTTCCATGTTTAAAGAAGAAAGAAGAACAGCTTTTTCCAGTCCCACAGATGAGGACCTCCGAAAATAACTCCGTTATTTTCTTGTCTTAACAGGGGAGGAGTTATATGTATAAATAAGTGTTATTTCATTGTAATTAAATACTGAATACCTATTTTACATTATGTCACATATAAAAGCGAACTGCACGGTTCGAAGCAGACTTTTCACTCTCTGTACTCTGTCGAGAACGTTTGTAACAATAAAATCGTTTTTTAAAAACAACCCTGTTAATACAGAACCTAAAACTCTATCTAGGATTTAATTAGATAATTGTGTAACTTTATTAGATAAATTATTTTCACAAAATATTAAAATTAATTGCTTACGTCTTGTTTTGTTTGTTTAAAATTATTAGAAATATTCTAAGAATCATTAATTTGTTTTTCCAATGTATTACAAGCGTGTTAGAACTTGGTTTTATAATTTGAATAATCTATCGTTACATTGCAATTTTTTACAGACTGAGCGAATGTATATTTTAATAAAATTATCATCAGATTGCAAAATAAGCATAATTATTGTTTTTAACAACAAATATATATTGCATGTAATTAATTTATTACTTTGTATATATTTTTTTAATAATTTATCTTTAATTTACATACTCATTGTTTTTAACAAAATTATATTGCATATTATTAATTTATTACTTTGTATGCATTTTTTAATAATTTATGGATCTGTTTTGATTTAGATACATGTTCTAAATCTGAGCATCCTGTAAACAACTTATTATTCATATCGTGTCATATATTTTTTCTTTGTTTTAAAATATATATAAATGCATAAAATTCTATGCTGCATTATAGTCAAGCTTGCTCTAAGATGAATACTCCTTCGATATTTATTTTTGAAAGCCTAGAAAAGAAGAGACTGCCAACTAAATTGTTGGTTGTTTTTTTCAAAAATTTATTTAGGTAAGTTTATTGTTTTTTTTTCTATAAATTTATTTTCATAGTAGTTGTTTTTTTTTTAATTTATTCATTTATTGTTTTTTCTTTAAATATATATTTTTTTTGTATCTTTAGATATGGGTTGAAAGAGGTGAAAGTGATTAATGGAAGAGTACATTTATATCTATCGTATTCACCAAAAAATGCAACAGTTGAAGCTAAAATGAAAATATTACCGCTGCAGTATATCAGGGTGGTAGCAGAAGATGAAACTGAATTACAACTTTTCCTACATGGTATGAAAGAATTTTCCAATGTAAATGTTTACCCTTCTATTGAGGAAGATAATACAACAACAAGTCAAATAGAGCCTTCACACCATCACCACCGCCCTGATGAAGTGCAGGAGCCCAAACATAAGAAGATAAAAATTTTGGAGAACAGAATGGTTTACCCAACATCATCACAACAGCAACAACAAGAATTAATAGAGGTTTACGATGAAGATGCTGACGAGTACGAGGGTCAGAAATACACCGTTTTATCATTATAGTAGTCTATTCTTTATATTATTATAGTCTATCTATATTTTAATAAATAAAATACATTATTATTACTTTCAATGTTTTATTTAAAGTTTTGCTTTTTACAATAAGTATCAATAAAATAGGAAATATGCATTTTCAACTGCACAATACAAAGAATTATTTAAATGTTTTAAACAATGATAAGATTTGAATACATTTTTTAATTGATCAAATGATGGACATCGTTCTATATGTAAATCAATTATTTCATTATCTATAAATTTTTCCAACCATTGCTTCTTTTCTGCTCCTCTAACAGCAACAACTTCTGAACATACATGTTTTTTAATAAAATTTGAAATATCTTCATATGGTAAACATTTTCCTTCTTCTTCTTCATATAAAATATCAAATTCTAAGCCATGTAAATTGCAAGTTAACCAGTCCATATGATTTCTAACCATTGAATTGTATTGTTTCAATTCAAATGGATAACTTATAAATTTATGTGCTGCCAAATGTCCATTGTCGTCAACGTTGACTATTGCTAATTCTTTACAAATAAAATTTCTCGATCCATACTGAAAGCCTTGTACATCAATAATAAACATTTTGAATAGCGATGATGATATGTCTATTCGCTTAGACTGACTACGAACGACTGACTTTTTTGTTTAGTTTTTAAAGCACTCTTACAGTGCTTGTTAGTGCGTTGTATTTTACTAATTTATCATGTAAAATTAGACAATATGCAGTAGTCTTGGCAGGAATTGCTTCACTTGTTTCAAACTCAATACGAATATCGACTGCACCACCCTTTAAAATATCTTCTCCTTGACGTGAACAATCAATGACCACCAGAGGGGCATTGTTCTTGAACAGAATGGGATAGTAGGTTGGTTCACTAAACGCTTTATAGTAGTATGATTTTTGGAACTGAGTATACATTGCATATAGGACTGCATATCTATTATTAGTAAAATCTATATTTAAATTGTCATAAGGATATACTTCTGAGTTTAAATATACTTTTAAATTGGTCAAGTTACAATGTTGAAATCAACTCACATTTTTTGTTATATGATTTTTTACATCTGTTTGAAATCCAATAATAATATAACGAGCTATTTCCAACTGATTACTCGATTTAACAGCCCATGTATGGTTTTTAGTTTGTTGCAATTCTGGATATTCATGCAGTTCCCAACTCCTAAAGGCAATCGGTAAATCTCTGCTGTTTTCAAAATTTTTTAGTAATCATAATTTTTTAGTAATCATAATTTTTGACTATCATTAACTGATGTATGAGGCATTTTCCGCAACACTTTATTCAAAGTGATCTTATAGTTATCCTTTGTTTCATTAGCTGAAGGAATGGCATTAAAATCAGAATTATTTCGTATGAGGACTAGTTCTTGTTTTACATTCATTACAATTTTATGATAGTCTTCAGCAAAACCCATCAATATTTTCAATGGTATACAGACATTAAAATTTCCATTACCATCGATTAATGATGGATTCTTTGTATCATGCCATCCAGCGTTATGTAAACCGTTAGCCTCTGTAGGAGTAAATGAAATATAACCTTTCATAGTTGATGTAACTCCAGGATTTCTAACTCTATTATTTGTTTCTAACTCTATTAGATGTTATAATCACTCCTCCCATTTCATAGCGAATTTCATCAAACCGAAAAGCAACACCATTATTCACAAATTGTACATCAGCACTTGCTGTGTTGTCAGATTTTGTTAATTTTCCTTCAATATAGAGGTAACTTTGACTTGGTAAAGTATACAAATCTTGAGTTTGTATTGGGATTCTAATTTCATCGTTGTTGTTCAAGGTTGTAGATGAATAGGGTTGATGAGTATGATACTGATAACTCACTATTGAATCATCTTGTATAATACTTTCATTAACTTTTAAGATGTTATAACTCATATTTACTGGTACAGTTAAATTTACATTTACAAAAAAACTAAAAAATCAGTTAAACTAGTTCTAAGACGTAGCTTCAAGTTTAACCAAAATTTTCGAGCTTTCTTAATTTTGAAGTGGGCACTTCTTTTTCAATTTAAATCCTAATGATTGTAGACATTCTTGATTGGAACGTGTTAATTCTTTTAACTGATTCTAGCTACTGAACCGTCTCTGAAAACTCTTTTGTTTTATATACAGTTCATTATACAGTTCATTGGACGGTGTATAAGAATCATTATTATATATAAATACCATTATGTTTCTTTAGATGTAAACGTACCGTTACCAGCTCGTTTCTAAAATTGATTAGTCTTCCATCTTGATCTGTTATTTTAATTATAATTTCTTCAACATAGCGCATGCTGATTGGTAAATATATTACATTTGATGGTTTTTCAACGATTTTAAATCCTGGAGGGGTGGTAGGATAGAACATATGAATGATATGAACCGGTTTTCCATTGTTATATGAATTTGTTACAAGATTACATTCAATCGCTATGCAATTCACTTTAAAAATAGCAACAGGGTTCTTTGAAATGTGTATCTGGTTCTCTTTTAATATTTGGTTACTAAAGCCGAATAGACTTCCAATGGAGTTTTCCTTTGAAAAATCAACAGATTTATTACATTTAAGTTCACAGTGTAATGTATTACGATTTGCCTGTATAGAAATATCCACTTTCTCTTCTTTTGAATGCTGCTTAAACCATTCTTGCAAATAACGATTTATATCTTGAATGTCATAAGATCCTTCCGGTAAAACAATCTTTTTATTATCATAATGAAAAATATTATTGGTACTATCGATATTCGGAATGGAATTATAACTTTCAAAATTTATTAATTCTAATACATATTCGTCATTTTCACTGAGAACAATAGGAGGATATATTCTAGCTGAAAGTGTGGATTCTTTACCTGATAAAGTAAACGTGTATGACATTGTTGAAGGTTGAAAAAATAATAAAACTCTCAGTATCTAAGTGTAACTATTTATTAGAAATTTTAAACATAAATGACCACAATTTTCAGTATTAAAAGTTTGATAAGGTGTATGGTTATAAAATATGTTACAAAGTCCATTGGATTTAAACTATTTTACAAGTTCTCGCGGAGGAGTTAAATTACCATAGCAATCAAAATAGTAAATATTCCTATTTATTTTTCGATATGCAGTCCAATGAGTTCCAGCTCCTGACATATTGTCAAGATTAACTATTCCAGATTCAAGTTTATGAATTTTTTGTGGTAGACAATCCTTCATAAATACACCTCGAAAATATGCCACTTTTAATTTTTTAGCATATGTTGTTAATTCGAAATTATTAAGAGCATGTTTAGGTAATGTTATGGTTGATTTTTTGATTTGAAACCTCGATGTAAGAAAAGTCCCAATCCAGTTTTGTATGGTTTTAAGTACAATCCTTTTCCCATTGCAACAGCTTCCATTGTTTTGTTGTGACGTTGTGCTTCGCTGAGTTGTTCTTTTGCTGCCTTAGTTTCCTTTACGGCTTTTACAACATTTGCGATTCCACCGTTTAGAGCACCTAATGCACTAAGACCAGCAAAAATTGGTATTAATGGTAGAATACCTCCAGTTTTAGGAATTTTTACAACACGTGGTGTCTTAATAATGTCTTCATTGTTTCTAGTGGTAGCGGTTTTTAATCCTATTTTTAAGGCACTTTCAAGATTTGTAGGTTGTTGTTTCCGTATAGCCCTTTTAATAGCACTCGTTACCGATTGAAAAGATTTACCATTTTTGTTTTTCTGCTGTCTTCTCTTTTTTATAACCTTCCTACTTTTAGATTTTATAGACTTAATTTTAGTTTTTTTTTATTGTTTCACTCTTTGTTAACTTTGTCATCTTGTTGCTATTTTTCAATTAAGTTAGTAATAGATTTGTAACACTTTATATATTATGTAAGTTTGTAGCACTTTATATATATATTTATATATTATAATATCTATATATATATATATATATATAGAACTAGAATTTTGAATTGGGGTAACGGCCTAGTCGTAAGGGCAAAATTTAATGAAAATCATTTATTACTACTGCCAAGCTTTCGAAAAATCTTTATTTTCTTCTTCAAGACTACAATATGGAGATAGTTATTAACTTTATATTAATTTACATATCAATAAAAAATCGTACCTTGGGTGCAATGCGAGTTTGAAAAAAGAAAAATTGTATGGCATCCTCGCAAAACAGAAAAACCTTTAACATTCCATGCAGGTTGGATCGACACTTTTAAAATCGTATATCAGGATTTTCATCTTATAAGAAGAATTGTAACTGTTAAATTTATTCAATTACATCTAGAAGAAATACGGATGGCCGTACCGAACCACCATTTTGCAGTGACTGTCTTTAATTAACCACGTGAGAAACGAAAGCTGTCGTTAGTCAAAAAGAATTCTGCTGTTGTGAAGCACTATTTCAATCTCTGCCTACTAGGTGGCGCCTTTGTTTCTGGCTCGAGAATTCAATTTAAAGTTATTTCAAATTTGTCAATCACATTGAAAACGCAAAACGACTCCAATCAGCAGATAAACAGTTTTTTTTTGAAAGTAACATTACTATATAGTTAAGAATGACATTGGCAAAATGCCATCTAATTGCCACTGTCACCCTTAAGTTGTTAAATAACTTAGTTATTTTTCGTGTCCCCATCAAGCTGTCACCTTACATCCAGGGCCACATCCACAACCAAATCTTAATTTATGTAAACCGTAGTGAATGACACTTACGTCAACCTACCAATGAGCATCGTCCGCATTAAGATTCAATATAAAAACCAAGAAAAAATTAACAAATTGCGAGAAAACATTGTTAAATTACTAAAAATGAAAGAACAGCTATTAGACAATCCTGAAAAACCGACAACTTTTATTCTGTGAATTTCTTCCATTCTTAAGAATGACATTGACAAACTGTCACACATTTGTCACTGTCAATCTCAAGTTGTTATGTAACTTGGTTGTATCTGCGTCCCAGTCAAGCTGTCACCTTGGAATGAGTCACTTCTACCCCAAACATTTTTTTTTTGGGTTATGAACCCGAGCTTACGTAATTCACAGTGTGCCTGCTAATCAACATCGTCTGTGTTACAATTGAAGTTTAAGAATCAGTTAAATTACAATCGAAATGAGCAAATATATAAATACCAGAAGAAAAGAGAAGATTATTTCGTGTGGATGCTTGTCACCGTCAAAAAGGTATTCAAGAGAAAATCACCACTGCACTTTATTAAGAGGATGTACGTATTATATAATTTTCTTCAGATATTTAACTGTTTTAATCTGAATTTTCGCTATCATTAGTTTCGCTTTTGTTATCTAGCGAAAGTAAATGCGAGTAAATGGTAGTGATTTCATTGATATTTGTTTTTTTGTTTAAAGTGTGCGTATTATTATGGGTTTCCACCATTTCCATGTGTAGAATACACGAAAACTCTGGGGTTTAAAATAAAATACTGTTTGCTTGCTGGCTATCGTGTATTGACTGAACTCGCCTTTCCGCATTACGTAAAGATAAACATTGTTGTTTTCAGTTATTCAGAGTACATTTTTTATATAATAATAATCTCTAAACTATTGAACACTACATCCACCTTCTTCTTTTAAACAAATTGAAATACATTAACAAAATTAGCAACAAGATATAACTTCTGCAACCTATAACTAAAACGATATAACTTATTACCTAGATATATTAATTTAACTAATTCTAATTTACAATAAACAACGAACTAGTATAACTTAATGCTAATAATAATCTCTTAGGGACTACACTATTTTGTAACAATAAAATTAAGTTAAATCACAAAATACCCACTATCCAAACAATACATTTAACTTCATTCAATAGTTCCCTAGTCATGCTCATGACTACTATCATTTTGTTCTGGTTTATTAGTGACTTTCCATTCTCCTTCAATTTTCTTTAAATGTATTATATTTCTTCGATAATCTTGACCTGTTTCATCATTCCTAATTTGAATATCACCTCCATTTTTATTTATTACTGTATGTGGACTTGGATTGAAGTTTGGACAAGTTTTATTACTTTTAATTAAATTTTTCACATAAACTTTGTCACCTGGCTCCAAATTAGTTTCTACTGCCTTTCGTTTTCTGTCCCCGTATTCTTTTCCTTGTTCTTTTAATATTTTGTCTCTGTCTCTAACTTCACTGTCTAAATTATTGTTTTCTAGATCGCTGATGCTAGGAATCTTGTCTCTAAAAAATCTTCGAAAAACAATTCGGATGGAGATTTACCGGTAATACTGTGCGGTGTACTATTGTACATCATCATGTAATCGAGAAGATCCCTTTTCAGTTTTGTTTTAAAGCACAGCTAATTTTAATTCTCTTTAGTATGTCACGATTTTGTCGTTCAACTTCGCCATTTTGTTGAGGCCAATAAGGTATAGTGTGAAATAATTCGATACCGGTTTCTTTACAATAGTTTTTAAATTCAATGCTTGTAAACTGCCTGCCATTATCAGCATTAATGCAAGATGGATACCCTAGCCTAGAGAAAATTTCTTGTAATGTACTAATCGTGCTTTGTGCTGAAATATCTTTTAATACTTTAATCTCCAATAACGGCTAAAATAATCGACTATGACGAATATAAACTCGTTACTTGGAAGTGGGCCTAAGAAATCAATGGCAACAACTACCCATGGCTGTGAAGGCAGTTCCCGTCGTTTCATTGGATTTGGTCTATTCGGCGCTGAAACCAACGTACATCCTTTGCAAGCCTTTACAAGTTTTTCCGCGTCGGCGTCGATTTTAGGCCACCACACTTTCGTTCGTAAACGTTTCTTCATAGCTACGATGCCAGGGTGACCTTCGTGAGCTGCTTCCATAACTTTTGGCCTAAGTTGTGATGGTATAACTATTTTGTCACCTCTTAATAGAATTCCTTCATGAAAACACAGTTCTGAACTAAATATTTTATATTGATTAATTGATTGGTCCCAAACATCTTGAAATATTGCTTCTTTTACTTTGGTGATTTCTTGGTCTTTTTCTGAAGCTCTCTTGATATCAGATAATGAAACAGCAACAGGTCTTGAATAGCTTAGTATTTGGCAAATAGAATTTTCATCAAATGATTTATTTATATTTTCTATTCTTGGCAGTCTGGATAAAACATCCGCTATATTAAATTTTCCAGGGCGGTATACTACTTTATAATTGTAACATTGTAGTCGAAGGACCCATCTCTCTATGCGCACACGGTTTGGCTGTTGGTTTAAATATGGCTTCTAGTGGTTTGTGATCTGTAACCAATTCAAATGTTTCTTTTCCATATAGGTACATATGGAAATGTTCCACTGACCATACCAGCGCAAGAGCTTCTTTTTCCGTCTGACAATATCTCTTCTCACAAGCTCTCAGGCTTTTATTTCCAAATGATATAATTCGAGGACCAGATTCGTCAAATTGGATAAGTACACAGCCAAGACCAACTGGACTGGCGTCAGCTATGACTTGGGTTCTGTCACCTGGATGATAATAGCCCAATGTTTTGATGCTGGATAGGGTCTCTTTTAGTTTTTTGAACGAATGTTGCTGTTCAGCCTTCCAGTAGGACTCTATGTTGGAATTTTTTCCTAATTTTAACCTAAGTATCTTCCTTAACGGGTCTGTCAGCGTTGCTAGATTAGGGATCCATTTTCCCACGTAATTTACTAACCCCAAAAAACTTTGTATCTCCATAATAGTTTTGGGTGCTCGAAATGTGTTTATGGCTCCTATGTAGCTCTCTAGTGGTTTGATACCTACTGCTGAGAGCTGATGACCTAAAATTCAACGCTTCTCAATCTAAACATGCATTTATCTTTATTTAGTAGGATGTTATTTTGATCTAAAGTTGTTAAAACATTATTTAATCTCATATTATGTTCTTCTAGAGTTGCTCCAAAAATTAAAATATCGTCGATGAAATTGACAACACCGTCACATTTGGCAAGTACACGTTCCAATAATTTCTGAAAAATTTCTGGAGCGCAAGATATGCCAAACATCAGTCTTTTATATCGTAGTAATCCTTTGCTGCTAATAAATGTAGTAATATGACGGGAGGCTGGTGAAATTTCGATTTGATGGAATGCGTTTTTTATATCTAATTTTGAAAATATCTTTGCACCTCTAAATTTTGGTAATAACTGGTCCATCGTTGGAAGTGGATGATTTTCACGCATAATAGCTGAATTTGCTCTTCGCATGTCAAGGCAGATTCTAACCTCCCCGTTGTCCTTTAATACTGGAACGATTGGAGATACCCATTTAGATGATCCTGCCACTTCCTCAATGATGTCTAAATCAATAAGTTCCTTAAGTTTCCTGTTGATTTTTTCTTCCAGTGGAATTGGTACTCGTCTATATGGCTGACTTACCGGCTGTATTGTTTCGTCAATTGGAATATCTACAACTGTGTCCTTAAATTTCGGAAATGGGCTTGTTGTGGCATTGACATTATGTAAACCAATTTTTAGAACACCTAGCTCTATTGCCGTTCTTTTACCAAGTAGATTTTTATTTCCATTTTTTATTACATAAAATACGGCTTTAATAGGCTGATTTCCAACATCAATAAATGCTTCAAAAGATCCCACGACAGTCAAGGGTGCCTTACTGGCATAGGCTAAAAATATTTTGTCTGGATTTTTTACCTGGTTATGGACTTGAACTCTCTCACGTTTTAAATATTGCCAGGCATCTAGGCTCAGTAAATTACATTTACTGCCTGAGTCAATGAGCATATCAATGTTCACTCCACCAATTTTGCATGATAGTGTGTCGTCTTGATCGATATGGAACACATAGTCGCCTTCATCTTCGGAGTTTTCTTCAATGGCATGTGCGTTCGACATTTTCGCTTTTTTAAATTTGGATTGCCGCTTTTGGGGAATGACGTTTAACCTTTTATTTTTTCTTTTTCCAGGAGCTGTTCTGCATTGGCTCATAAAATGTCCTTTAAATCCACATTTTCCGCATTCTTGATTTACAGCTGGGCAATTTAAACTTGTAGAAGAATGTTTTGTGCTACCGCATCGCCTACAAAATTCCTCTTCACGACGACTTCCAGATGGCTTATGTTGCAATAAATTAATGTCCTGGGTTAGCGTATCTGGATTTCCTGAGAATTCCCCGAGCTGTCGTGTTACGGATTCTAAGGAATTAGCTTCATTTATAATCATCTCTAAAGTCATGCTATCTCCAACTGCTAATATTTTCTTTCTCAGTTCTAAGTTGCATCCTTTTTCCACAATTTGATCGATAAGGTTTTCCTCCAAATTCTGGAATTGACACTTTTCTGCTTGGTGTCTTAAGCGTATGAGGAATCTCTCGAATTTCTCTCCTTGATCTTGCTTCAATAATCTAAAAATGTGTCTTTCAAACACCTTGCTTTGTTTAGGAGCGAAATATTCATCCAACTTTTGAACAGCGACTTCATAAATATCTACATCAACGGAAGTTTCAACATGTGCCCCAGGAATATTATAGTATATTTCTTGAATGCCTATTCCCCCCATATGTAATAATACAGCTCGTTTTTTTGCGGGACTGTCGATACTTGCTGCCTCTAGGTATATATTCAAAGCCCTTTTCCATTTTCTCCATCTTAAAGCAACAGAAGAAATTTCTCCTTCACAATCAAAATTCTCCAGGGTTGAAAGACTTGATAAATTCATCGTCGATTTTAATTTTCTGGAATAAAAATATATATAGGATTGAGTCGTATATACACATCTTAGGTATAAATAAACATTAACGCTTTAATAATTAAGGACAATGATCTAAATCTAATGTTCAGATAAACAATTTGCAATTATTATTACTTTATTTCAAATATGGCTTAAAAAAGCTTAACAAAATTAATAATTACTGATTTTTTTTTATTTTTTTTTTGTTATAACTTTGTTACCTAGTTATGATACATTTACAGTATACATATTATTTAATTAATTTACATTTTAACACCAAATATTAACTATTATCGATATATATTTGTCATTTAATTTCGACTTAATCTCTTAATGGCATATAAATGAAACTCGAATTTGCACCTCTGTCCCTTTAATTTGGACCTACGTCCCTCTGATTTGGACCTACGTTCCTCTGATTTGGACCTAAGTCCCTCTGATTTGGACCTACGTCCCTCTAATTTGGACCTACGTCCCTCTGATTTGGACCTACGTCCTCTGTTTTGGACCTACGTCCTCTGTTTTGGACCTACGTCCTCTAACTTGGACCTACGTCCCTCTAACTTGGACCTACGTCCTCTGATTTGGACCTACGTCCTCTGATATGGACCTACGTCCTCTGTTTGGGACCACGTCCCTCTGATTTGGACCTACGTCCTCTGATTTGGACCTACGTCCCTCTGTTTGGACCTACGTCCTCTGTTTGGACCTACGTCCCTCTAATTTGGACCTACGTCCCTCTAATATGGACCTACGTCCCTCTAATTTGGACCTTAGTCTCTTTTATTTGTATTAAATTAAGCTTAAATGTACACATGTACTTAGTATTATAAATTAACACCAAAAGAATTTTTTTTTGTTAACATTTTAGCTGCCTATTTTTTTGTTAACATTTTACCTGCCATTTCTTTATAAAATAAAATTTTCATTGTCTTGTTATTAATGTACTCTGATACTTGAAGGAACCAGGAAAATGATTCTAATATACAATACGATGTAAAATAAACCCAGAACGTTTGACACGGCCGATTCCTTACCAAAGAAATGTCAGTCACTAGTGTTTAACGTGGCAGTTAAAGTGTTAATTATTTTTCGAAATCGGTCAATATATAGTAAATATTTGGTGTAATTTTCCAATTAAAACTTTAGGTACTTACTCGATTGTATTTTAACCGAATCACAATATCTGTTTGGTTTAGTCCTCGTCGCCACTGTAGAATACACGAAAACTCTGGGGTTTAAAATAAAATACTGTTTGCTTGCTGGCTATCGTGTATTGACTGAACTCGCCTTTCCGCATTACGTAAAGATAAACATTGTTGTTTTCAGTTATTCAGAGTACATTTTTTATATAATAATAATCTCTAAACTATTGAACACTACACCATGAATAACCTTTTGGATAGTGTTTGTTCTGTACATACCACGCTGACATCTGAAAATTCTGGAAAATGACCTGTATCTACAAAATGCTCCGATAAAGCACAAGAGCGTTTAGACAATCTACAGTCACTTTTGTGAGACGTTATTCTGTCTTTTAGAACTCTTGATGTTTGACCGATATAGATTTGCTCACACGAGGAACAAGGGATACTATAAACTACCCCTGATTTTTTTAAAATAGGATCCTTGTCTTTAATACTACTGAATAAATTTCCTACTTTTTTTGAGAATTTATTTACTATTTTTATGTTCGGTTCATCCTTGAATACTTTAGCAAGCTTAAGTGAAACACTCTTTATTAGTGGAAGTGAGAATCTGTAAATGTTTATGTTTTCTCTATTCTATTCTGAGTTCACTTGTTCTGGATTTACATTTCTGTCTGTTACAAGACGTATTTGTCTTGTATTATAAATAAGTTTTTTTTAAAGACAAAAGTTGATGTTCAGATTTAAATGAACAAATTTTATTTTTATTTGTCAATTTATTCAATCCGATACCCAACTTTAACTTGGTGTGCATTGCAGTTGAAACACCTAATGCTGCTAGTTTTTCCTTCCATGAAGCATCGTTTGAAGTAGTTCTACTTAGAACTGCTTTTAGTAATGTTTTATCAGCCTCATGACGATCAGATAAATATTTTCTCTCTGAATATGCTATATCATGTTCTTTACACGCCTCATCTAACATGTTAACACCTTTGTCACCGCGTTCTAAACGTTTACTCAATTTAGTTCCTGGTCCACAATAATCATAACCTGGTAAATGTAATTCAAATGGTAATTTGTTTATTAAAGTGTTTATAACACCACTACCAGTATGTTGCTGCTTTATATAATATTTCATGACTGCTTTCTAATCTCAAACTAAGTATAAATTATATAATGATCAATTTTTATATCCATTTTTTAGTAAACTTTGTAATCATGAAGAAGGTTGTTAAGCAAAAGACTACTTTGAAGATTGATAATCATGATATGGTTACAAGCGAACCTTTGAAACATAGCATTTTATTTCCTTCGACTATGCGATGTGTTATAACAGGACCATCCAACTGTGGTAAAACCAACACTTTGGTTAGTCTCTTGGAACATCCTAATGGTTTAAAATTTGAGAATGTATATCTCTATTCGAAATAGCTATATCAACCCAAATATATATACTTGGAAGATCTTTTAAAACCAATTAAAGGAATGGGATATTACGCTTACAATAGTAGTGAAATTCCACCATCTGAAGCGAAACCAAATTCAATATTTATATTTGATGATGTTGCCTGTGATAATCAAAACATAATAAGAGAATGTTTTAGTATGGGACGACACAACAACATTGACTGTTTTTACTTATGTCAGACGTATACAAAAATACCAAAACACTTGATAAGAGATAACGCTAATGTATTAATTATCTTCAAACAAGATGATTTAAATCTAAAACACATTTATACAGATCATGTAGGTACTGATATGTCTTTCGACAATTTTAAACATATATGTGGCTACTGTTGGAGGAAACCTTTTGGAAACCTTTTTGGTCATTATTTTGATAGTTATATATACATTTAGTAAAGTTTTAAATATTATTATAATACAAGTCGTTCAATGAAAATGATGGCTCAAAAACAAGAGAAATCTGTTAAACAAAAGTTGATTAATAAAAGAAGCGATATTCGTAAAAAAATAAATATTTTAAAACATGGTTAAACGGTTCATGAGAATCTGTTTCAACCTATAACAAAACATTTGCAACCAATTGAAAGTAAATTGGAACCTATTTCAATCAAAGAGATATCAAAATCTCCACTTGTTAATATTAAACAAGAAAATGTAGCAAACTTTGATAATCAGGAATGTGATGAAGAAGAGTATTCTGCTAACGAGTATGATGCTGATGAAAAATCTATAGTTTCCGAACCAATTCCTACTGTATCTACATCAACACCAACAGAATTTACTCCACGACTAGGGACAAATACATCAATAAGTGTACCACGTATAAAGAAACGAAAGTTAAGTTTTTATGAAAGATTGCAACCGTACAACTTACGAAAATTAATAGTAAAAGGTGTACAACAAGATTTATATGAGGAAGAAAACCAAAAACAGGAAGAATTTGAAAAAGAATTAAATAAGTCAATAAGAGATAAATCATTAACCGACTACTATGATCAGTATCATTCCTTACCACAAAAATATATAAAAAAATTTATAAACGACCCAAACAGTGATAAATCTGATGGTAAATTTAGGGTTAAATATGATAGGGAAATAGAAAAGTTTTCAATAGGTAATAAGAGAATTGATTTTGATGGACCTGATTTAATAATTGCTGGTAAAAAAGTAAAAGGTACTAAGGGACTTTACGGTTTGCTTTTTAATCAAAATGTACCGAAGGTTTACAGTAAAGAAGATGCTAGGAATTATACCCAGATTCTATTCAAAACGATTGCTATTAAGAAACATTTTAATCCAAGTTTATCGACTATAACAAGTAATAATAATAAATTTAAAAAGATTGTTGAACCAATTATGATATATCAATTACATAACAAAAATTATAGTGACAGTGATGATGATAAGGATAAAATAGGATATGGAATGAGTATGAACGTTTCAGGTAATTCAATCGATTACGTTTACTGGGACGATCCTAATGAATTAGTGGCAAGATTACAATTGTTAGTTGCTTCTGAGTCAGCAGACAATACAGCCGTTGGAAATGAAATTGTTTCAATTGTAGAAGAATTGCGAGAGGCAAATATTATTGAGTAAAATGTTTACTACTGAAGCAAAAAGATAAATTGTTAATGAAATACATAAACCGGCAAGAATTAATTTTAAGCGTAGAAAAGTTATTGTTAAATCTTTATTAGATCTAATGCAAGCTGATTTAGTGGATATGAGGGAATATGAAAAGGAAAATCAAGGATACAAATATATTTTAGTGGTAATTAAGTGTTTTTCCAAGTATGTATGGACATTTCCCTTAAAATCGAAAACTGCAAAAGAAGTGGCTGAAAATCTTGAAAATGTTTTCAAAATTCAAGCACCAATACATCTCTGTACAGATTCAGGTGGTGAATTTACCGGCAAAGAGGTTCAAGCATTGATGAAAAAGTATAATGTTGCCCACTATATAGTATATAGTGAAAAAAAGGCTTCAATTGTTGAACGGGTTAATAGAACACTGAAAGGTATGATGTGGAAAGATTTTAACATGCAAGGGACATACAAATGGTTAGACTTGATAAAAAACGTTGAAAATGCATACAACAATAGAAAACATCGAACAATTGGAATGAAACCGGCAGAAGTAGCAAACAAGCATGAAAAACTTCTCTTAAAAACTGTATTCAATAGGATAAAAATGACTACTACACCAAAATATCAAGTGGGTGATTATGTACGCATATCCAAGTTTCGAGGAGCATTTGATAAACAGTATAAACCTAATTGGTCAACTGAAATATTTACTATTAAAAAAGTGCAAGCATAATAGTTGGATATCTAAGGATAATATTGCATAAATAAAACATATTTTATGAGTACATAGCATTTTTATTTACTACCTATACACTCTTCAAGAATTCCTCTTAAACTATGTACACCACATATATAATAAACAAATTAATATTTCCAGTCTAGACTACGTTGGTTAATACAACATTTAGTTTTAAGTAAACCATATAAAATTAGTACTCTTATTGATAACCTTTAACCTATTATGCATCATCACATAAAATAACAACGCAATATTTTTATTGATAATCTTTAACCTTTTAAACGTTATCACATACAACAACAACAAGGCATAAAAGTAAACAATATAAAATTAGTACTCTTATTGATAACCTTTAACCTATTATGCATCATCACATGCAATAACAAAGCAATATTCTTATTGATAACCTTTAACCTTTTAAACGTTATCACACACAACAACAAGGCATTTTCCTAAATTTTAAGCAAATTTCTCGTCTATAGCAGCCCAACCTATGCAACTCTTATAACATGGCATATATGCAAACTCCCTAAATCTACTAATTTAGATCTGGCAAAGCAGCATTTGCAGTACCCTCCTGCTTACCCTTAAAAACCTACCCTCACCCACCCCCATCAATTACATTAAGGCCCTTTTCAACAGCCTCTGGTAGATTTACAAGAACTACCCACACAAACATTATTTATTTAGAAATAACCTTCAAATTAATCAAGGTCAATACTTCTTCGGCTCATGGATCGATGCTGATGGAAAACATGCCATCGAGCAAAAAGTGGTCCCCCCAGTATTCCGCTAGCTATACTACAGGCGGGTTTATCACAACCAATTGGTTTTAATTGCAGTTTTATTTCATTATTTTAAAGCATCCTTAAAATACCGAACAAATCCGTTCGGTGCTACTTGAGGTATGCTCTCCATTTCATTTGCTATTCTATAAAAATAGTACATTGTTTACAAAAATGAATCGATAGTTATTGAGTTGATCATTTTTAGTGCTGCTCAACTATCGGGTAAGACGGCATATATGTCCATATTCATTACATTATTCATTATTCCTGCTAAGCATTAGCAGTCTTGAACGAATGTTGTATCTGTCCACATTTCCCGACGGAATTTCTTGATGGAATCCGCTATCTTTAAGTGTACTCTTTCTGTCTTATTCCCCAGTAATAAACAACGCACTTTGATGTCTATAGACAATTTACAATGCATTCCAATTGTCATTTTTGTTTTCATTTCGGTTTCAGTTTTACTTATCAGTATTTTTTTTACGTTTTTATTTCGGTTTCAGTTTTACTTATCAGTATTTTTTTACAATTCTTTAAATTGTAAATTTACAT